GGGGAGGAGAAGAGAGGGAGGGAGGTCAAGGACAGCAAGGTACATTTTGAGTCTTGCTATCAGTGCCCAAGGTCCAGTGACTGAAGAGAGCTCTGATGGGCTGGTCTCTGTAACTGAGACATGACGCCAGGTGGGTGAGTGGAAATGGGGACAAGGGGAGACATCCCAAAGTAGGTTTACCCAGAGATCTGGATACTGCCAGAGCCAGTGTGGGCAGCACTGGAAGCATCAGGATCTCCTGAGCTGCCTGGAGGGCTTCCAGCATTGATGATACCTGAAGCTGATGGAGGCCTGTATGCCTATGAGTCCAGATAGCAAATGTGTAGGGTGGGGTGCTCTGCAGTTGAGCTGCCTGGCATGGGTCTTTAGTGTCATGGTCTTAAAGGATTTGCAGAGATAGTTGTTGCTTATATGCCCTTCATCCAAGCAACCAAAAAAGCTACCGTCTTTTAGCGAATATACCCCACACTTGAATATACCTTGCAGCTTGAGTATAAATAAATAAATAAATAAATAAATTCTTGTAAATCCCGTGCATGAGTATAACCCACAGGGTATACAAGACTGTTTTTCAAACTGAGAGAATTAGCCTCCCTCCAGACGGGGGAGCACTCACCCCGCCTGGATCCTGCGCAGCTGCACAACCTCCAGGTGGGGGAGCACTCACCCCCCAAGTCCCGTGCGGCCGCACAACCTCCAGGCAGGGGAATGAGTGTGCTCCCCTGCACCTTCCTGCAGCTGCACAGGAACCGGGAGATGAGCGCTCCCCCGCCCGGAGGCTGGTGGCTGTGCAGCAGGGGAAGGGGCGGGGGAGTGCTCACCACCAGATAAGTTTTTTTTTTTTTTTAAATGTATACCCTGCACCCAAGTATACCCCTGCAGGGGGGGTGCAGGGTTTGTAAAAACAAATATAACCCAGGGGTTATATTCACTAAAATATGGTACTATGAGTATTGGTCATGGGCACAGGCTATTTGCAATGATCATGGGGCTTAACGCTTGAGGAGCGAGGCATGCCACATCTCCCATTTGAATCCCGGCCGGGACGGACAAAGGCTGTAAACTACTACTAACATCTAACTTACAGGCTCTACAAGTTCATAAGAATGGAAAATGAACAACACTAGCCAAAGCAGTGAACACTTCATGCACCATCACTAGCAACAAGAAGGAACCAGAGATGGGAGAAGCTGGCAGTGCTCTTTATACTGTGCCATGCACATACCACTGCAGAAGGCACCAGAGCTGGTTCACTATAGATACTGCTGAGGGAAAATCTGTGTAAAGCACATACACCTGATACGGAAGGGATATGACAAGCACTGGAAGAACACTGGGTTATAGTTGATAGGAAGCCTTTTGCTTCAGTGCACACACCTATCGCTGACAGAGATTAGGCAATAAAGGAAAGTTGTGAGCATGTTATTCCATAAATTTATACAATTTTTTTGCACTCTTCTTTGAAGCAGCTGGTACTGGTCAATGTCAGAGACCACACTGGACTATGTGGACCATTTAGTTGGTCTGTTCTGTCTACAGAAAGTTTATTTTTTAAAATCCCATGGTAGAATACTGGACTTCTTTTCAGATCTGAACTAATTCAGTTAATGGGGTGCTGTGAGGTTGAGCCATAGAGTACAGATTAATTCTTAGACATTTCTTAGCAATACAATCTAATTAAATCCAGAAAAAATGGATTCTATAAAAACTGACTAAAACATAAGATACTTCAATTATACCTAATTCCTGTAGGTGTTGATGCTTCATATGGGAACATTTCCTTAAGAATATCTCTTTCTACTCTTCGTTCTTCTGCTAGTGTTTTCTCCACCACCTAGGAGAACAAACAGAATTATCAACTTTGCCAAACTCAAGAGAAAGAAAAAAGCTATAGCACAGATATTTAGAGTGACCATAATCCTAAGTGATTTGGAAGGGAGAATTTGGTTCACCCAGTGATTTTAAGAAATCTTTCCTGGATTTTAGTTGTTGGTTTAAACTTTGTTACTGGCAGATGTTTAGTCATTTTTGGTGTCCAGATGATTTCAGCGTTGTCCTCAGTTTCCTTCAACATGAAGAATACTTTGTTGTTACTTATGCAGTACTTATACACTGATCAGACAACAATACAGATGATCAAAAGGGATTGGTCATCACCTCTATCATGGCTGTGTTGAGCAGATCACTGGATTGCGTGTGACCAATGTTAACAATATGTTTATGAGGACGACATATTTCCTCTTGCTGTGGTAAGCGAAAGTGCTGCAATATAGCAAAACACCAACTGCAAAGACTCATTGGGTTTGAGACAAAGCACTAATTTTTAATAAATTTAATGGGCATCACACATGAATGTTCAGTCAGATCTGCTACCAACATGATATCAGATTAGCTGTGTATTCAAATGAGGTAGCCCATTTCACATAATAGATGAAGATATGGACACATCTGAAAGCAGATCCACTAGTTTATCAAAAAATTTAACTATTTTTAAGAATGAGTTTTATTCAAAGTAAGCAATGCAAAAAAATGATAAATTCTACTGATTTCTACTAGGAACATAGTAATACTGCAGAATAGTGTACAATATTAGATCTAAACTTTTAGCATAAAAAAAGGTTACCAGATACAATATATTCAAGCCCTCGTTTAACATCAACAAGCTGATAAAGGCAGGGACACTTTAGCCATTAAAAGAAGAAGCAGGTCTACCCCAGTAATGTTACCTTGGAGCCTTTTGGTTTAAAATAATCCCATTTGATATTATAAATTAAGCATACATCCATCAATTTTTCAAAGTTCAAGAACCACGTACCTAATTTATCTGAATCTAACTTGACAAATACATATAAAGCACCATGCTACACTGATAACAGAAGTAGCAGAAAAACTGCAAACATGATCCCAGAAATGACAACTGTCTCAAAACTAAGCAGGTGTTTTATTGGCAAAACTTTTGAACCCTATTTTCACCAGTCAAGTCATTGTACAATGCTAGTTTGAGCTGAGTATCGTCATGACACCTGTTAGAGAGCTGTACCCTCATTCCCACTTCTGAAAGAGTGACTAAATGTAAGAATTCTGTCCAGAAAGAATAATGATAGCAATCTAAATTTTAATTCATTACTTCAGATGTCATCAGTGGTTTCTTTGGTGTTCTTCTGGGTAAGTCTGAGAATTCACTTATTGATAGTGTAGGAGCTGCATGCTTGAAATTTCCAGGAACCCTATTGACAACCTGCTGAGATTCAAATTGTTCACACTCAATTAGCTAAAATACAACAGAAAAAAATTAAGATATAGAGATAAAATCTTTGTTAAACATTTGGATAGTAAAAATTATCAATCAGAAAAAAGATAAGGTATGTATGTGAAAGTGTGATAGTGTACACAGTTAACTGACGTTAACGTGCACGTTTACATGCAGGCCCCCTTCCCCCTACCTCTGTATAAGAGGCAGCAGTGCAGGGGTTGGGGCGGGAGGAGGAGGAAGCGAGGCAGGAAAAAGCCATTTCCCTGGGTGCACTGCCACCCCCTCCCCCACAGTGCTGCCTCTGATACAGAAGCAGCAGCATGGGGTGGCAGGTGAGAGTCACCTTCTCTATGCATGTAGCTGCTGAACTTCAGCTGTTAACATGATTAAACACATTTAAACATCTCTAATTTGAGGAGAGTTACTTGGGAATGAACATTCTAAATACATTAGCGATATAGTTTCTGTAGCTTTTTCTTAAGCTATTTAGTTACAAAAGCTCACAAACATTCAAGCTGGTTTGTTGCTCATGTTAAATAAAATGGTCTCTCCATAAAGGCTGTGGTACTGACATTTCCCAATCTTCCACTTTTAAAATGGGAGCTATCATGCTGGCTTCTACTCCTGGCCTGGTCTGAGGCTTCAGGGGACAATACAAGAACATAAGCTCATACAAGATTGATAAAATGGAGAGGGAAGCATATTTGACAAAGTAAAAATGCATTCAGTATTGGGGGCTATCAAGTAGAGTTAGATTTGTTAAACTGAAAAACTTTCTAGTGTATATGAGAAGATACATTACAGAACGATACCACTTGTATAATTTATTAGATATATTTACTAGGGTCTTGTTGCTTGAAGCCACTATAGTTTCAGCTATGGGAGTACCCTCTGACATTACTGCATCATCTACAGGCAACTGTGCTGTAGTTTCCACCTGTTTGTTTAAAAAAAACAGAACAAAAACAGTGAGTGTAAAAAGTACTCTAGGGCCCTGAGAATCTCAACAAAAAAGTAAAACAAGTCTAGATTGCAATAAGCCTCTCATCACCCTTTTCCTTGGTGTTCTTCTTGATACTCTTGTAGACTCCCTAGAAACTGCCTGCAGAGGTCCACTTTTTGAAGATCCACTTGTCCAGATAGCCTCAGTAAGTCCATCTTGAAAATAGTTCTATTCAAGCATTAAACACATTAGCAAACATATAAAAAGCCATGTCCCAACACTGAAGTGTCCATAACTAAAAGCCATAGTAGCATTCATATTCCAGATGTAGTGCACTTGATTTCCAAATATCTTGCCATTTAGAATACTGCATTACTATTAAGGATCAAGTAATAGGGATCATTTTAAGGATAGAACAGTATTATATGGCATTAAATAGACAATGCATTATCACCATCAGAACAAAGTGAATGCTACCACTTCCAGTAAGTTTAGAGTATAAATCTTTTATAACATAATTTGCTAAAACTTTAGCTTTGATTTGAACCTGGATAAGAGCCACGGATGATAGCAGATATACCATTTTATATTTAACTCCAATCTCATACACCTAAAAAAACCCAAGCCTCTTGTGCATCTCTAAGGGTACGTCTACACTACATGGCTCCGTCGACGGAGCCATGTAGTGTAGACGTACCCTTAGAGATGCACAAGAGGCTTGGTTTTTTTTAGGTGTATGAGATTGGAGTTAAATATAAAATGGTATATCTGCTATCATCCGTGGCTCTTATCCAGGTTCAAATCAAAGCTAAAGTTTTAGCAAATTATGTTATAAAAGATTTATACTCTAAACTTACTGGAAGTGGTAGCATTCACTTTGTTCTGATGGTGATAATGCATTGTCTACTTAATGCCATATAATACTGTTCTATCCTTAAAATGATACCTATTACTTGATCCTTAATAGTAATGCAGTATTCTAAATGGCAAGATATTTGGAAATCAAGTGCACTACATCTGGAATATGAATGCTACTATGGCTTTTAGTTATGGACACTTCAGTGTTGTTATCAAAACATGCACCTGAAATAAAAGGTTTATCTCCTCTGACCACATAAGGAGATTTGCAAATAAATTCATCAGAAATTGTTTGCCTAACTCCCATTTTTGCCTTTGAAAGTCTCTGTAACTATACCAAGTTTTTCACACCGCAAGTTAAGCTTTGCCTATTCTTTAAGACTAAGACTAGACAGTAGTCAAACCTAAACCATTAAATACTAAAATCAAAATGCCATACTAGTGTTAGAATAAGATTTAACATAGGAGTTTTGCAATAGCTTTATAGCAGAGGTGGGCAAAATACAGCCAGTGGGCCTCATCTGGCCCACTCTGACCTTCTGGCCTGCTAAATGTCCCGCAGCCCCACTTGCTGCTCAAAGCAGCCGGGGTAAGCATTTCTCTGTACATGTGCTCTTTGAGCAGAAGGGGGTAGTGGGTCTCTGTGCAAACTGGACAATGGAAATTGTGGGGGTGGTACTTCTGGGCACCAAGAGCATGCAGAAATAGGCTGCCCCATTCCTTCTCCCCTCAAGGGGCATGCACAGAGAAACATGCTTGCTCTAGCAGCTAGTGCTCTGAGTGGCAGTGTGGGCCTGTGACAGGCAGCTAGCCTGTCCAAGAGCCCCAATGGGCTGCTGGCTGGGAGCCACTTACTGTGCCTCCCAGCCAGAGCCTGAATCTGGCCCCCCCCCCTCCTGCACTCAAACTCCCTACCAAACCTTGCACCCCTGCCCCAGGTCACAGTCCCCTCCTGTAGCTTATACCCTGCACCCTCTCTTAAGTAATATAGTGGACAAGTGCAGCTTTTGACCAACTTACCCCCCACTGTGAAAAGTATTGTCCACCCCTGCTTTATAGCTGTCAGAGGAAAAAGCCAGTGACCACAGTAACAAAGAGTGTACAAGGGGAACACCTTCTTTGGATTAGGTCTCAAAAAGACCCCAAATCTACAGAAACTGCATAGAGATCTGCAGTTTTAGATTGGTAACTTGAAATACAATTAGAAATCCCAAATCCACAAAATAACCAAGATAAAACAGTTAAAGAACCCAGACAGCTACTACTGTATTAAAACAAAAACCATTTTTAAGAAAAGGTTTACACTAGTAAAAAGTAATCAAACAGTCTGAAGCCAGTAGCAAAGGACAAATGCAATGTGCATGTTTTCCTTTAAAAAAAAAATGAATTGAGAAGGTCTGCAAGTTTGCAGTTATAAACATAGTTCTTCCCGATATCAGAAAAACAAGTCTGGGTGAGAGGACCACCAACTCCATGCAAAGTTACAAGTGGGGCCTTTGGGAAAACAAAAATAAAAAAACCCCACCACACACAAAAATGGTGAATCCTCTCCTTTAGAGAGAGAGATCCCATTGACACAATTAAAACAAGCAGCAGCCACAAAGCACATTCATATTTTGCGAGACTTAAAATTATCTTCCAGACTGCTTTGTTAAATTGTCTTTCTCCAGTCCAAAAAAAATATCCTCCCATTAAGTAATTCTAATATACGGATATAGCAAGTAGGCTGCTGCCATGTTTTGGACCATCTTGAGTTCTTTAAGAGTTTTTATGATAATTCTCTGATGTACAGCCATTCCCTAACTTACGACCATCTGCACTTAAGTCCCTCGCGGCAGAACATTGTGTTTGCGTGTCTGCGGTCAGGCAGCGTGTTTACGTTTCATTCCCTCACAGTGTTTTCAGTGTTTGCCTGTGGCCATGTCGTCAAGTAAAAGAAAAAGGGCTAGTGATAAGGGTGGTGAGAAAAGAGAGAAAAACTATTGATTTGGAACAGGAAATAGCGATAGTGAGACAACACGAAGGGGGTCAAACAGTGTCCTTCATGTCACGTAAGTTAGGGCTATCGAAATCCACTATCAGCACCATTATAAAGGGTAGCGATCACATTCATGAAGTGGTGAAAGGGTCTGCTCCTATGAAATCAAAAATTCTAACAAAGCAAAGAGCAGGTCCCATCCTGGAAATGGAAAAACTCTTAGTGCTTTGGATGGAAGACCAAATTGAAAAATGCATGCCATTAAGTCTCATGACAATACAAGCTAAGGCTCGTAGTCTTTTTGAAGACTTAAAGAAAAAGGAGGGGTATGACTATGACCAAACTTTCACTGCCAGTCACGATTGGTTCAACTGTTTCAAGATGCATGCAAACCTTCATAATGTGAAATTAAGTGGGGAGGCAGCCAGTGCTGATTCGAAAGCAACAGAACCTTTCATAGAAGAATTGGATAAGCTGATAAGAGGGAAATTTTCCAGAACAGATCTTTAATGTTGATGAGACAGGTCCTCTTTTGGAATAAAATGCCTGAACGTACCTACATACATAAGGACGCAAAAACTATGCCTGGTTATAAGGCTTTCAAAGATCATCTAACAGTCTTGTTAGGAGGCAATGTATCTGGGTATAAATTGAAACCCCTCTTGATTTATTGCTCTGAAAACCCTAGAGCCTTCAAGAATATCAGCAAGGCTACTTTACCAGTCCATTATTGCGCTAATAAGAAAGCCTGGATGACGCTTGCACTTTCTGAAGATTGGTTCATGAACTGCTTCATCCCTGAAGTCAAGTCATATTTTCTGGAGAAAGGAATTCCTTTCCAAATTTTGGATAATGCTCCAAGTCACCCTCAATACCTAAATGACTTACATTCCGACGTGAAAGTGGTGTTTCTGCCTCCCAACACCACATCTATTCTTCAACCCATGGACTGGAGGCCTTAGCTGCTTTCAAAGCATATTATCTTTGCAACACATTAGCAAAGGCAGTAGCTGCCACAGAATGCGAAAACGGCAAAACATTACGTGCATTTTGGAAGGACAACAACATTCTGCATTGCATAAGGAACATTGCTGCAGGGTGGGAAGAAGTCACTCCACAATGTATGAATGGCACATGGAAGAAAATCCTAAAAAGGTCTGTGAACTGTTTCAAAAGACTTTGAAAAAGAAAAGGCACTGGAAGACATTTCTAATAACTTTGTACAGCTGGCAAAAGAAGTGGATCTGGAAATGGATAATGAAGACATACACCAATTGGTTGAGAATGTTGGGGAGGAGCTGAGCAATGAAGATTTAATGCAGCTCGAGGCGGAGAGGGTAGCAGAGGAAGAAAGACAAACAGCCCAAGAAGAAGAAGCAGAAGAAGCAGCAGCCCCCAAAAACTTTGTGATGAAAGAAATGGCTGCAGCTTTCAGCAAAATAAATGAAGGAATGCAAATGTTTGAAAAAATGGACCCTAATGTTGCGAGATTCTCAAAGGTGGATCGTTTAATTCTGGACGCCCTGGCTTGCTATAAGGAAATTTATAACGAGAAGAAAAAACAAACTGTCCAGTCCAAAACGGATATTTTTTTAAAGAAAGCCCCCAGCAGTGCTGCCTCCCGTACTGAACCCAATGCCTTCTATACAAGCAAAGGAACTGTTGAAATAGAATCTGTTGTTGATGTTCATACTGTACTTTTTTTACTCCTCCGATTCCTCATCCAATTAATTCAATTCACATTACTGTATTTAAATTACTGCATTGTATTTTGTATTTCATGTTCATGTTTGTTAAATAAAGTTTGCTGTTGCTGCAGTAGTGTTTTTTTCGTGTGTTTCTATTTTTCGTTGATTGCTGTGTTGTTGGTGCTTGGTTACGCTTTGAGTGCTTCATATGGGGTATTTCCAACTTATGAACAAATTGAGTTATGACCAGCTATTCATAACCTGTTCATAAGTTGGCGAACGGCTGTAGAAGCAGCAAAAGTGTGTTAATTAGGTCAGACAAGTTTTTTTTTTTTTTTTAAAACCTTTTTAATGAAAAGCAGTGAATTTTTACTGGGTGTTAAGAACACACAATAACTTTCCACTAGAACCTAAGTTTCATGGGAGTAGGCTAAGTTAGAGCATTAAAACTGTTTGCAACATTTCTTTAAAATTGTAAGAAAACTCTAGAAACAGCTTTTCTCTAATCCCCTTTAGGTTTTCATCCAATGTTGGTTTCTCAAATTAAACTAATCATTCCTATCACATCTATAACCTCAACATTTCTCTCCTCTCTCAAATTTTCTTCCCTAAAAAGGATAATTTTGAAAGTTTACTATACACTTCAACTGTATGTCATTCATACCTGTAAAAGATGCATTAGATATCGTTTGCAGTTTAAGCCACTCAAAGTACCATCAGCTTCTCCTATGGACATTTAGCATTTACATTTACTAGATTTTAATGGGTCCAAGTCAGTTTAGCTAAAAAGAGGGCTATGATTTGAACCAGCGAAGTGATCATTTTGAAATATTTGTATGGAGAATTTTACTATTCTCACTGAGTCAACCTAGTGAACTGGAGAAGATACCAGTTGACTTAACATTGGAAATCTGCACCTAATGATGACATTATAAAGAGACTACTGGCAGTAAACATTCATAATTGAAGGGGAGCATTTTTTGAGGCTTGTGAAGTTACTCACTACCTTAATGTGCATTTTATTAAATATGTTCTGCTTAAATAGACCCACTTGCTGAAAAACATTCCTGTACTCCAAACTAACCCCTTCTCTCTCAAGAGATTTTTGAAATACAGGTTGAACCTCTCTAGTCTGGCACCCCTGGGACCTGACCAGTTCTGAACCAGAGAATTTTCTGGATCACGGGAGGTCAATATTGTCTAGCAGCATGACCTACACTTCCACTGTCCACTGACTGTTAGAAGACATTGAGGGGTAAATTAGAGCTAAATAGCACAGAACACAGAGCTAGACTGGTGGCTGTAAACAAAATTTATGGGACCACAAGAAACTTGGCCACACCCATGAAAAGTGGACATTCATCTAACTAAAATAATTCTGGACAACAAATATTTCTGGACTAGAGAGGTTCAACCTGTACTTAGTTTGGCACCTTAGATACCTCAAGCGATCACAAAGAGTCAAATTAACACCGATTTGTTTAATCTAGGAGTTTGTGAAAATGGGTTGTTTTCTGAGGGTGTTCTTTTAAATATATCTCCCCTATTAGCGTGACAAACTCCTACGATTAAAGATATTGAGATTAGGGATGTAATAATGTAGTCGGTTAACCGATAAGCAAAAGCTTATCGGTTAATGCTACAGATGACATGCACTTCCCTCCCCTCCCCCACCAGCAAATTTTTTAGCAGGCTGGCCAGCAGCCTGGCTCCATCCTGGCTTGAAACAGGTCCAGGACTTTCCCCTGCTGTGGCTCTGCATTTAAAGTGTATTAAGAGCAAGGCAGACAGGCAGCCCGGCTCAGTTCTTGCTTGTGCCAGGTCCAGAAGCTCAGACACCCTGCCCTCCCAGACAGGGGTTGCTGCCACCCCATGCTGTTGCCTCTTTATCAGAGGAAGCAGCACAGGGCAACAGGCAGCGGGTCTGCGAGGGGAGCTGATATTTAAACTGGCTCCCCTAGCATACCAGCTCCTACATGGCAGCCCAGGCTGCTGCCTCTGATACAAAGGCAACAGCATGGAGTTGCAGGGGGCTCTGGTTGCTGGCCCCACCCCAGGGGATTATAGACTAGTCCACTAATTGATAAGAATTTATGAGGTTATTCAATTAATTAATCGATATTTAACATCTCTAGTTGAGGCAGCAGCATGGGGTGCCAGCTGGGCACTAGACATGATTAAGGGGGATGAGAATATATTTTATTGGACCAGCTTCTGTTGGAGAGAGATAAGCTTACAATGAACTAGCTCAAAAGCTTGTCTCAAACAGAAGTTAGTAACTTTTGAGCTATCTCACTTACCTCATTTCTCTTAATTCTTAGTAATTTAACTTTAGGTTTTCTAGTTTTCCCCCCTAGAGTTATTTGATTCTTTGTAAACTTACCACTATTTGGCTTGCTGTTTTCTGCAGCCATTTAAAAAAAGAACTGCCCCCCTCAAAATTGCAACTCTCTTGATTTCAACATGATGATGTTAGTTTGCTCTCTCGAAAACAATATATGCACGCTCCAGGATAAAAGGGCCTGATTTTTCAAGAGCACTGAGTATGCCTCCACCTCCATCATGTTGAAATCAGTGGAGCAGCAAGAGGAAGGAAAAGGAATTAGACCTCTTGTTTAGGGATATAACTCAAAACACTCACTTAAATTCTTGGCTGACAGTGTTTCAATACCTTTTAAAATACCGTGTAGCCAATAACTTTGAATTTTTGCTTCAGCTGGAAGGAACAGAAGTGTTTCAATATGATTCCTTGATTTTGATTCTCAAAAAAGCTTGAACAGTTGCCACAATAAGTTACATTACCACATGTATGTTCACTGGAGCCAAGATACTTTTTTGAAAAAGACAACCAAGCACCATTTAATTCTATCAGACAAAATGAGTAAGAATGAAGCATTTCTGAGACAGCCACTGACAACAAATCCCAGATAAAGAAAAGATTTAGAACAGTGTGCACTAATATCAGTGGCTGAAATGCCACTTTAAAAGAAATGTTTCTATTCCCCTCCTGCCATATGCACTGCAACATAGCACAGATCACTGAAGTTCTGCAAAAGCCAGTCACTTAAATACTTGCTCCACAATGATTCCACTATCTCTTTTCAGCAAAAAGAAATGTTGCTCAGGGCGCTATGCTACTACTGGCCAAAACTGGATCGTCTAACAAAATACATTTGTATGGACAAAAAGGATATTCACAGGGATATTGTAAAGTCACAAGGGATGATTAACAAGAGGTGTGTGTCAAATCAGATGCCTCAAGTCCACATAATTAATTCACTAAAAAAAACCCACAACAATTACAGTGTATGGGGTGCGTCTACACACCCGTAAAACCCAAACACAAAAAAGCTTTCATTAAGCAAGCTAAAGTGCATTAGCATTTCAAAGCCAGGCATTCATATGTCAATAAAAAGCTCATGTGTGTATGCACTGACAGAATTCAACAATACAATTGAATACTCCCCCACAACTGTATGCTCTTCTCTTATGACAACCTCCCCACCAATTTTAAATTCTTACTCTAATGTAAAGAGGCACTAACGCCTCTCTAGCAGATAACAGGAGATTTTAATTAAGCAAAGCAAATAAATAATTTATTTTCGCTAACTTTGGTCTGAGAACTTTCCCCTCTAATATTTTCCATCTGTGTGCAGAATAAATTTTGTTATGTGCACCAAAGCATGTGTGGATGTGCACCATCAATAGAATCACATGATTGCCAGCTCTAGGCACTCTGCTAATCAGCTGGATAGCATTTGAATCTCTCCTGAATGGCTAGCCAAGTACTGAGCTTACAGGAAACGGCTGCAGAACTGATTTTACAGGAGGTTCCAAAACATTCACTTGGGCAGCAAAGAAATGTATACGCTTCTATATGCTATTATAGAAAGAGAGGCATCCATCATGTCATCTGTCTCAGAGAACATCTGAGAAGACCTGAGAAGTTTCTAGGGGGATGGAGGCCCCGAGCCCCACCCCCACCACAGGGAGGAAGAGCAGGAGGGATGGAAGAGGACACACAGCCCCAAACACCCAACCTGTGCCTGGGAAAAGTGGAGGCCACATGGCTCCAGCCTCCCCAGCCCCAGTGCAGCAGGAAGGGAGGTGGCCACATGTACATCTACTGTCACAACAGGATGGGTAATGCTATTTTCAATAATCTGGCAAATATGTAAGTCACTGAAAACTGTTTTATGAAAGTGTTAATGCAACCTTAACTACAGCAATGCTGCCTACAATATAGAAAAAAAGCAAAAAACAATTTAAGATTAGCAGCTGTCATCTGCTAATTTGTGTTACATCTAGATTTAAAAAAAATAAATAACTCCAGGGTTAGCTAAGACTTGGGTTGTATTAAATTACAGCATGATTCCTGGAAAATTCGTGATAATATTTTAAGTGGGTTAAACTGTTTAATTGTATGTTAATATTAAATCAATATGAAAGAAATTTAGCTACAGCCAGCACACTCACAAGTTGATAAGAAAACAATTAAAATAACGATACCTGATTATGTTCAACAACTCTTCTTTGTTTGAGTGTTACTGGAGTCTTGGTCTTGGCTTTCAGTGGTTCTCTCTTCTCAAGTCTGAATTCTACCTTGGGATCTGAAAATTAAATCAGTCACCATTACTCTTTGATTTTGGCCCTTTGAGTTGCCAAACAGAGGAGCCTACTAACATCCTATGTAAAATGTCACAAAAATGTTAGTCTTAACAGTCAAGACCATAACATAAAACCAAATACACTTATGAAAAACAATCATTTTGACTGAGAGAATGTTGGAGTTATTTGCCTTGTGACATAACATGCTGTAATCAGACAGTCACTCTTGCACTGCAACGTAGGGATGTTAGCGAGTAGTCGACTGGAGTATTGACTACATGCTTCTTCCCCTCCCCCCCCCCACCCCAAGAGGTGAGAGGGGAGGTAAAGGAGCCCCTTTGTGTGGGGAACCAGAGATAGTAGGGCAGAGGAAGTTTTCAGCAGTTACACGATTACTTAAACACATTTTAACCAACTCTTACAACATTTAATGAAGATACTAAACCAACTACAGAGCTCTCCCATTGGCATAGTTAATCCACCTCAGTCCCTCTTTGAAAAGTATTTCCAACTGAGAATCAAGACACAGAGATTTAGTGGAGCAGGGAGACTGCATGCAGTTTTGTTTGTGAAAATGCAGATCTTTGTCCCTACTCCCCTTTCTTACCAAAGAGTCGTCACTTGATGGATGACTGATGATCAACTGTATTGATGTATGCATTTAGCAGAGGTAGGTAGAGGAGAAGACTGAAGGCATATGTTAAATGTGGCTGATAAACGTAAGTGAGTAGGGTCCTACCAAATTCACAGTCATGAAATCTGGTATCTATTACAATGAAATTTCATGAGAAGCCAGTGTCTAAAAATTAGGACAATTCATTGGATCAAAATGTCAGAAAAACGGCAAGAGAGCCACAGAAGATTTTAGTGGGTCTGGACTATTCTGGCAAAACTTCAGGAAAGTAAGAATGGCCATACTGGGTCAGACCAATGGTCCATCCAGCCCAGTATCCTGTCTGCTGACAGTGGCCAATACCAGGTGCCCTAGAGGGAGGAAACACAGCAAGTAATCCTCACGTGGTCCCTCCCAGAGAAACAGAGGCTAGGGACACCATTGGCTAATAGCCATGGATTAAGCTAACCTACATGAATCTATCTGGCTCTTTTTTGAACCGTGCAAAAGTCCTAGCCTTCACCACATTCTCTGGTAGAAAAACTTTATTTTAAACCTGCTGCCTATTCATTTCACTTGGTGACCCTTAGTTCTTATAATGTGGGAATAAGTAAATAACTTTTCCTTACTCACTTTTTCCACACCACTCATGATTTTGTAGATCTCTATCATATCCCCCCCTTAGTCTCCTCTTTTCTAAGATGAAAAGTCCAAGTCTTTTTAATCTCTTTTCATATAGGACCCCTTCCAAACACCTAATCATGTGTTTCCTTTTTCTGAACCTTTTCCAATGCCAATATATCTTTGAGATGAGGTGACCACATTTGTATGCAGTATTTAAGGATTCAACTTTAAAGGATTAGGAGCCAAAAGAAATCAAAAAAATTATTTCCATCGGTGTGTCTGTCCAAGGCTAGATACAAAAGTGGGTGATTGGGAGGTGAAGTATGTCTTGTCTAGGAGGAGTTCTAATATATACATTCTATTCCTGGCTTTGCAGCTGACTGGTTGTGTGACTTTTTCCCTCAGAGTAGAAGATGAGAATCTGGAAGCCCTACAGGAAACAGCGGAGTGAGTGGGCCTCAAGATTAGTCAGAGAACACCAAGTTGATGTGCATTAACAGACAGGAAGGTGAAATTACAATTGAAGGAAAAGCAGTGCAAGAGGCTGACCAGTTTGTATACCTGGAGACTGTTATCAGCAAGAATAGGGGAACTGAAGAGGACATCAGTGCGAGAATACAGAAGGTTGCAACAAGCGTTTGCCATACTACTACTGCCTTACCCCAGTCTGGGGCACAAGAGCCATTTCAATAAGAACCAAACTACGCATTTTCACTTCTAATGTGAAATCAGTGCTGCTGTATAGCTCACAAGTGTGGCACATTGTCCAAAACAACACTAAGAGAATTCAGACATTTGTCAATAAATGCTTTAGACACATTCTCCAGCTAAAGTGATATGATAGAATGCCAAATGAAAAGGTGTGGACCAAAACAAATCAGAAACCAATGGAGGTGCACATTAAGAGGAAAAAATGGCGATGGGCAAGCCACATCCTGCGTAAGGACTATGAGGAATGTATTATGAGACAAGCATTAGAATGGAATCCAAAGGGGAAGAAGAAAAGGGAACATCCCAAACAAACATGGCAACGAAGCTTCCTGGACAAAGTAAAAGCAACTAGCTTAATGTGGGGACAAATCAGGACTATCACTAAGGATCACAAGAGATGGAGAATGACTGTGGAGGCCCTATGCTCTATTAGGAGCCCAAAGGACAAATAATGATGATGAAGATGGGAATCATTTAGAATTACCTTTCTTTGTAAATTGCTTTGAGAGCTAGAACGGAAAAGTATTAATAGCCTGGAAGCTATTGTTCTATTAACAGAACTGCAATCCCTTCATTCTGGGCAATTTTATCTATCAAAATTACTACCTGTCTAACTTGTGGGATCTTCCCACCTATAAACACTAAGAAAAAACATGTATTTACCAGGCCAGAGAAAGGGGAGGAGAAAGAGCTGGGGGGAGGGAGGAAGAGAGACTAAAAACAAAAACCACCCTCTCTCTACATTGCATTTTTCCTACCACCTCCACTATTGTTTCCAGCTGTTTTTTTCCCCCACAGATTGCAAGACCAGACAAAACCATTCTGATCGTTTGACCTCCTGCATTTGAATAATTCAAACACTGATCCTAATAACTTGTGGTTGAACTAGAGATTTTTTTAAAGTGGTTTTTTTTTTTTAATTCTCTGCCACTTGGGAGTGTCTACTAACTCTCTTGGTAATGTCTTCCAGTGTCTAGTTCTCCTCAGTGTTAAGGTTTGTGCACTTTCCCTGGCAATTCTTTCCTCTTCCTTTCCCCATGAACTTGCAGGCTCACTCCCGTCATCCATTCCTATCCCTGGAGTGGAAACAGAAGTGGTATCTGGCTTGCTTGGATTCCTACCTCAGCTTATCCACAGAAACAACAGTGCCAGCTGTTCTACTTTCTGGTTCTCCTCCTTCATGAAGCGGTAGTGTCTGAGATACTGTGTTCACAGCTAATACTCTTAAAGGAGCAGTTCTGGGCTACTCTTTTGCTAGGCTTGATAGCTTCCCAAGGAGAAAAGAACCAGAAACTTTGCTCCCTAAGCTTTAGTCAGCCCAAACATGTCCAAACTCCTACCTGCTCCATTCACCAAGCTTTCACTAAGTCCTGATGCAGTGGTCAATATTGGCATGTTCAGGTTCAGAGTCAATCCCAATTTTGAGAAAAGTTAGATGTCCCCTTCATTAGTGCTCCAATTTTTTTCCACCAGAGTGGAATGAATTTAAGTGCACCAATGTGGAGGTAATATGTAACACATCCCCTTCACATTGGTGCACATAACAAAATTACATGTGGTGGGAGTGGAGCTAAGGGGTTCTGAGCATGGTAGGGCTCAGTTTAGGGCTAGGTGCAAGGGCTTTGGCTGAGGGTGCAGGATCTAGGGTGGTGCTCAAGATAAGGGATTTGAGGTGAAAGAGGGAATTCTGGGTTCAGGATGTAATAGCGTACAGCCTCTCTCCGAGTTACGAACGAGTTACGGACCAAACACTTGGCCGTAACTCAATCCGTTCCTAACTCGGACCCCACTGAGTTACATGCGACTACGCTGTTCGTAAGCGCGGGTCGCGTTCGTAACTCAGGGACTGCCTTTACAACCGCTCCATGGGAGCTTTGGTCGTAAGCGCGAACGGTCGTAACTCGACCGTTCGCAACTCGGGGAGCGGTGGTAGTTGGTTAACTGATAAGCAAAAGCTTATAGGTTAATGCTATAGACTACACACATTTGCTCGCCTCCTTGCCACTATATTTTTTAAGCAGGCTGACCAGCAGCATGGCTTGCACCAGGTCCAGGACCCACCCCGATGCAGCTCTGCATTTAAAATATACAAGGAGCCAGGTGGGCAGGCAGCCCGGCTCAGTACCAGCTCACAACAGGTCTGGGAGCACAGCTTAGGGTGAACTTAGCCCAACACATCATTAGTATGAAAGAATGCTATGTTTGATCTTCCTCATAAGTTCCCTCATGAAGGTACAGTTACAAACTACTCATTCTAACTTACATTATTTATGCTTATTTTGAGTTAAGTTTCCACTTTAGTTTTACCTTCTTCATTGTCACTGTACTGATCGGAATCATTATTTCCATTCTGTTTGGTGTTCTCAGCTGATGAAGAAACTACCGATAAAGGTGTTGAAGAGCCCAACTCTGGGCCTTGTTCCTTCAGTTTCTGCAATTTCTTCTCATAGAGCTTTCTTGTAGTAGCTGTAACAAGGCAGAAAATATATTCGAAGAATTAAGATGGAGTCAAGTAAAGGTGTATAGTCTAATGTTGAACCTTCCTAGTCTACAGACCCAAGTGGGGTGAGAGTATTGTTAGGATTTGCCTCTGTATGTTTAGTCAAACAGGTTTACAAAGTAAAAGCTACTCAACACAGGATGTACCTGTTTATTTTTAAAGTTAGAGCATTCCATTCACCTGTTTTCTCTAAACTTGGATTCTATGTGACATGCTATAATATGAAGAGAACAAGCTGGGTCTTTACTTGAGCCATAGTTGTCCTTGCCCTCAGTCAGTCATGCAAATAACAAGTTAGTTTCATTGTTTATATGTTGGTGGATTAACGGGAAGATGTAGCAATGCTAAGCTAAGAATCTCTTCTCCAACTAGAAAGGCACAAGGATTATACAGCTCTGTGCAGATACAAAAATATGGATCTGCATCTGATTCGCCAGGCTCAACTTATTATCCGATCCACAATCTGGATTTTACTTGCATCTGCACAGCAAGTCATGAACGGAGCACAGATGAGTGAAGGGGGGAGGAGCAGAGTCTTGCAGGTAAGAGTAGGCAGTGCCAGAACAAGGACTGGGGATAAGGGGCAGGGTGAGGGTCTTGCGAGGGGGTGGATGGAGGACGGACACAGACTTGCACTGTGTGCTACTGCTGTGTGAGGGATGGCACCCAGCAGCAGCAGCTTCCATCACATCGCAGCAGGACAGAGGACTGCCTGAGGGTCCTGCCCACTCCAATTCCCTCTGCGGCCCTTGCACTTATCGACTAGTCGATGAAAGAGTCAATACACATGGGGAGCTGGCTTTTTAGCCAGCTCTCCCCCAGCACTGGCTCCTACCTGCCCTCCCATCCCCCGCCACTGCTGTCTGCGCTAAAAAAGTATTACTTCCTTCTTACTTTCTTTTGAGTTGTTTGATTAAAACCCTCAAATGCAGATGTAAACTTCAATTTCTTAAAATATCCCTTCTGGGCTATATCCAGAAGTCATGCAAGGTTTTCAAACTACATTGCACTGCGACTCACATCTGACAACAACAAAAACACACTATAAAGACCCGGGGGAGGGATGGGGGGGGAACAAAGCATAAGTCCATCCAAATCCTACTGTCCTGATAGGAGGGAGAGTGAAACCTGAGTCCTACTGCCCAGGACAGGGAAGTGATCAAAGCCCAAGAGCTTCAGGAGGCTGGAACCTGAGTCCTGCTGCCCAGGGCTGTGGGGCTTGAGCTTCAGCAAGTCTCAGCCAGCCCTGGCAACCCCATTAAATGGGGTCTTGACCCACAGTTTAAGAACTGCTGGTCTAACATGGTATCCAACTTTCTGCAAGTAGACATCTACTATAGTATATGCTTCAAGGAATGTAGCGAGTCTGCCATGAAACTATTTATCCCTGTTAAATTAGTTCTCATGTTTTTTCTTGCTAAGAGAAACTTTAGAACTATTGAATGAAAAGGGATTTTGATTATGGCTTGTATTGATTCAGACATTAGGGTCTTTTTAACTAGTCTACAGCGCTTTCCCACTTAATACTAAATACTGATGTTTGACCTGGATGCCCACTTCCACTAGATGCCATTATAAATATAAGACAAAACTGCAGTCTATTATCCTGTGTTTCATAGCTGGACTATCTAAAGGATTCATCCAAGGTTATTGTAACTAAAGAGCCCTTTACAGTGTGAGCACAGACCATACTTATGTGAAGCAATATTTGTATGCAATTATACATCATAAGTCAGTATTAACAGCTTTTACCCACCTACTATAGGACCAGGGGTCACGCCATGTTTTACAAGCTGCTCTTGAAGGTCTTCGTTACTGAGCTCTGTTACATCTAAGTCATCTTTCTCCTCCAGCCTGGGTTTGTCTGTTTTCTTCGTGGCTTTCTGTAAAGAAAAAAAAGTTACACCATTTTTCTATGCATTACAAAAACCACAAAGTGTTTCTCCTTATTGAAGGAGTAGAGAGAATACATGTGGGCTGTAGGAAGCAATAGTATGGTGGGCATGGGGGCAGTTTTGCTATTCATTTATTTTTAGTTAGTTGTGTTACTTTAATCAATACCAGATAAAACACTTTTTTCACTTCTAAAAAACTTGGATAACTAGTCCACGTTTAGGACTTGAACATTGTGAAATATTTTAAGAGCTTCTGATAGAGCATCTTTTACTTTTTTTAAAAAACCCTCTATGCTGACAGACTACAGGCCACCACAAGTTTTATCTTTCCTACAACTGGATAGATCCGGTTTGAAAACTTCCCCAACACCTACTTGCCTGAAGAGTAAACCTACTAGGTCACCAATCTGAAGAATACCTTGCCATCACACCCTATCAGTGGTATGTGTGTATATTTAGTTTCTAGTGGCATATCTTCATGCCTGTCCACCCTCACCTTGCAGGACTCTTGCAAGAAAGGGATAGAAAATAAGACCTAGAATATCTTACTGCCCCTGTATAAAACTATGGTAACACCCACACCTTGAATACTGTGTACAGATATGGTCTCCTCACCTCAAAAAAGATATTTTGGCTTTGGAAAGAGTTCAGAAAAGGGCAACTAAGATGATTAGGGGTTTGGAACGGGTCCCATATGAAGAGAGGTTAAAACAACTGGGACTTTTCAGTTTAGAAAAGAGGAGACAGAGGGGATATGATAGAGGTATATAAAATCTTGAGTGGTGTGGAGAGGGCGACTAAAGAAAAGTTATGTATTAGTTCCCATAATAGAAGAACTAGAGGACACCAAATGAAGTTAACGGGTAGCAGGTTTAAAACTAATACAAGAAAGTTCTTCTTCACACAGCGTGTAGTCAACCTGTGGAACTCCTTGCCAGAGGTGGCTGTGAAGGCTAGGACTATACAAAGTTTAAAGAGAAGCTAGATAATTTCATGGAGATTAGGGCCATAAAAGGCTATTAGCGAGGGGATAGAAATGGGGTCCCTGGCCTCTGTTTGTCAGAGGCTGGAGAAGGATGGCAGGAGACAAATCGCTTGATCATTGTCTTCAGTCCACCCTCTCTGAGGCACCTGATGCTGGCCACTGTCGGCAGACAGGCTACTGGGCTAGATGGACCTTTGGTCTGACCCAGTACGGCCGTTCTTATGTTCTTATGTAACAGTAATGAGATCACCAGGTAAGATTTGATAAAGAACTTTATGCATAGCCGGAAGATGCAGAAGATGTTTGTCACCTGTAGAAAAGGAAAGTCACTTCTTGTTTATTGCACTAAGGATGCTAGAGAGAACAGTAACCTGACCTGCTATGCCTAATCTAAGTCCATTTTGAAGAAATCAGATGTGATATTGATGCAGATGAGTGTGCTAACATCAGCGGTTTAAAGCTCAAATGGATCTATAAAATATGCTGAATTAGTGTATTTCTGGAGAGTAAATGTGTAGATATTGGCCCACTGAATAATCTTGTGCCTCGGAGGTTCAAGGTACAAGACCCAGTCAGCTAGGCTCAAACTGTCTGCATTCTGATTCATTAGTAGTCCCTGTAAAATTCTCTCTCTCCTTAATGGAAAGCACATGGTAGGTGTCTACATCTTGTAATAGAGAACAGAGAACCAAGCCTCCTTGGCCAGACTGGGGACAACAATTACCAGTGCTACTTCTCTCCTGAAGCATTCTGGTGAGGAGAAAAGAAGTGGGGAAAAAGCATTAAAAAAAAAAAAAAAAAAAAACACCACACTTTCTGGTCGTCTTTACGAGCTATCAGTTTCTTTGGTTGCAAACCAGTGAGAGGCAAATAGATCTACTGCTCAAAGACAATTTCTTTGCCATGAGTCCCCTGATAGGGATGTATTAGTGGTCGATTAACCGATGAGCAAAATGTTTGTTTTGGTTAATGCTATAGACTACATACATTTCCCTCCCCTTGCCAATATTTTTTTTTAAAGCAGGATGGCCAGCAGCCTGGCTCAGTCCTGGCTTGCAACAGGTCAAGGACCTACACTTTAAATGCAGAACCACAGCAGGGGTATTAGGAGCCAGACAGGTAGGCAGCCCAGCTCAGTCCTCATGCTGGGTCCAGGAGCTCAGACACACCGCAGACAGGTACTACTGCCTCTATCAGAGGCAGCAGCACAGGGCAACAGGAAGACAGTTCACGAGCGGAGCTGGTTTTAAAATTGGCTCCCCTCTCAGACCAGCTCCTGTCTGGCACCCTGCGCTACTGCTTCTGATACAGAGGAAGCAGCACGAAGTGGCATGGGGGCTCCTTGGGAGTGAGGCCAGAGCGCACTGGCTGCTGGCTCTGCCCCTGCGGACTACAGAATAGTCGACTAACCGATAAGAATTCATAAGGTTACTTGACTATTCAATAAACCAATATTTAACATCCCTAGTCCTTGGTGCATTTGCTGCAATGGGCTTATATTGCTGGTAGAAATGGAGGGTTGGGGTGTGCTCAGAGGCTTCTTACTAGGCTCACTTTATTTTGTCTCTGGATCCCGGTCAGTAGTTCTCTTCCACTGCAGCAACAGGGGGAGGGTGGAGTAGCAGCTCAGCAGATACACAGCATGGCTGAGAGCATGTGGATTCTGGTGAGTGGGTGGGAAGCTTTGGTGATCCATGGTCCTGTTCCCAGGAACCAGCACCCCACACTGGAAGTGCAGCTGTACTGCCCCTAGCTGTAGCATCTCCTGTCTGGAGTTGTACAGCTCTGCTGGTGGTGGGGATGAGGACACTACAGCTACACTGCTGGGAGGAGTTGCTGGCATAGTGAACTGGCTCCCATGAGTAACGGAAACACACTACTTTCCATTGGCCATAGTGTCTGTTGGGAGTAAAGCCCTGCAGATTGGAAGATATCAAAATCTGCTCTTATTCCAGGGATTACAATACTTTAAATAAAATTAAATGGGGGCATTATGCCAGGGTCTGACAGTGCCAGCATCTTAACCAAAACTGGATGGTTAACAATTGCTATGGGTTTTCCACCAAATAATATGTATCTTCTTAGGCTTTGGAGAGGAGACTTTAACTCTTAGCCCAGAAATTCATTCATGCAAAAAAACTGAGGCTTCTTCATGTCCAGTTTGAGCCTGATCAAGCCCACAACACGGATGGAAAGGTATCTTTAGTAGAAACGATCACAGTTTTTCAGTCTTTGCTTGTAATCCCTTAATTCCTGAATCTCAAAGGGACTAGATTAGTATAAACATAATCCAGTTAGAGGAATTGGAATCTTGAAATCACATGTACCTCTGCTTTAGTTTTCCATACTGAAGCAATTCAAATATAACTAGTTCCGAAATAGCCAAAAAAAAAACTTAATTAAAAAAGGAGACCGTCACACATTTACTTATAGCCTGTCACTACACATTAAACATAGCATTTATTTTAACCAGTTTCACATTTGCTCAATTTTTCTTATTTATTCTTTCTGGTCAAGCCAATGAAAGAATTAAAGATTCAAACTCTAATCAGCAGGTTAAAGCTCATGTTGGATTTCTAGTCATCATCTTTTTTAGGCTAGTATTGTATTGCAGTGTTGTTAAGGCATTGCCCACATCACTGACCAGATTGATACTGCAAAATACCTCTGTATGCCAGAGGAGTACAGCTAGGAGTAAGAACAACAATTACAGACATTTAACATTCAAAGAAAATGTTATAATGTTACAAGCAACTAACATGATTTACTGTGTTTCTGGACAGACATCAATTCATCTCAGGCAAGTAGGAAACTTCTGCAAGCAACTATCAGCTTATCCAAATTCAGAGTTTTCATTTCAAAAAATAAATTTAAGATGTTTTCCTTGCATACTTAACATTTCCTCCACAGAGGTGAATCTGATGCATGAAGTATCCTTACTATACAGCCAGTTCTAATGTCTTCACAGCTACCTGGAGATTCTTCAAGGTGTAGAAGAGTGGAAACTGTAGCAAAGTGGAAGAGTAATGCCTATACTTGCTAGTTTACACTGCTGTTTAGACAGATCCCTGTAAGCAGCACTTACATTGATAAGAATAAATTCAATTTCAACCTGGAAAAGCTTGGGAAGCTTTCAAGCAACAGCAAATGTATTCAATGGAAAGGACCAATCAAAGGTGTGAGCAGGAAAAACAGGTTAAGTAAAGGAAACAATCTCTCACCCTTTTGATAAACCTGAAGCTTCGAGGAGTGAGAACCCTACCTACTTTCATGGGAACTAGAAGACTCTGGGTGGGATGAGTGAATATCTTCTTCCTCCCCCACTTCCAGCCAAGTAAGTATAATGGATGCAAACATGTAGGCTCCTAGGGTCATCAGTTAATTCTCATGGTTACATGCCTCACCCCCCGCTGCCTCTGTATCAATGAAATTTTCAGTAGACACATGTTTACAAAAATAAATGTATTTTAACATCCCTACTAAGGAGTGGAAATAATTCAAAATGTATCAGGTAACACAGAAATTAAGCCTCCCTTCCCTCTCCCTACTACTCCCACACACAGAGCTCACAGGACTGCATCCCTAGGAAAGGTCAGTCTTCTAACAGCTAAGGATTGGTTTCTAACAGACAAAGCACCTGAACAGTCATCCTTCATGTCCTCCATAGCAGAATGGGACAAATTTCCAATGTAAACATCTCCTGCCTTTACAAAAACATAACTATAGCCTAACAAAAATAAGTCACCTGTTATTAAAAAACACACACACACACACACACACACACTAGTTCAGCAATATTTCTGCTGTATTCTCAGTTGAACCATTTTCATAGGTATTAGCTACTATGATCTAAGAGAGGCATCAGGCAGATGAGCCCCAGACATCTGACTCTCCAAGCCGTGCCTATGACCTCTCATATATGCAATCCAGCTGCGTTTCTGGTTACTTCTAAACTGCAAACTGGATACCAGCTTTTATTCCCTAAACCTTTGCTGCTCACTTTCACCAAACAGTACAAAGAGCATTCAGCATAATCCAGTTAACTCCAGCTTCCTCTATGAAGGAAGAGCAAGATCAAGGAGGTCAAGGAGACAAAAAGAGTTGGGTGCCTGGCTGCAGTAAAATAGCCAATTCCACACAGACAGCAGAATTCTGTAGCATTTTGAAAAGATGCCAAATTCAATGGCTTTAAAGTCAAGACAACCAGTTGCCCCTCACCCAGATGAAAAGGTCTTATCATAAGCAGTGATCCCTGTAAACTGCATGGCAGCTTAGAGGGAACACTGATCATATGGCTGTTTCATGTTCTCAGCTAATCTTTCATAAGTTCAAACTTGGTTCACCTTTCAGCTATTTTAGCAATAGGACTGCGAAGTAATTAAAATTAATTGCAGTTTTTAATCAGTTGAATTATCTTGTTTAACAAGAGAATACTAATTGAAACATTACATATTTTTGAATTTTTACATTTTCAAATATGTGAATTTTAATTATAATGAATACAAAGTATATAGTGCTCACTTTATATTTGAGTACATATACTTGCACCGTAAAAATAGTATGCAAGTGATGAATCAAAATACTGTAGACACTCTGCTGGCAGCCCTCCAAGCATCGCCTCTCTGTGGATACCCATGGGTTTGCAGGGCTCTAGTCAAATGCTAGAAGCTCTGTGTGTGTGCATGCGGAAAGCTGGGATTCTGGATGACAGTTCTGAAGCAAAATTCAAAGCTATAGAGACCTTTTTGCACTAAGGATGTTAGAGAGCGGTTATTTGGCTAATCATGTAGTTGGTACAAATTGTATCAATTACAAGATTAGTTAATAAGGACCCCTCTGCAGAGAGGCAGCAGCGGGGTAGCTCCCGGAGCCAGCTCAAGCCAGGACTGAGCAGTTCCAGCTCACGACCGCTGCAGCTCTGTAATTTAATTGTAGAAAGAGCCCTTACAAGCCTTTCCCCCCCCCCCCCGGCATGGCTGCAGCAGGGGAGGCAGAGGCACAGCGGGAAATTGCATGAGCGAGGACTGAAGTAGTCCCCACTCATGCCAGTCAGACTGCTATGCCTTTGCAATGTAGCAACACCACCATAGGATTCTTGCTACATTTAAAAGGCAGAGGCAGCGCAGTGGGAAACGGAGGATGAGCGGTAACTCAAGCAGTCCTCACTCGCTCCAGGTTCCCTTCTGTACCTCTGTTTTTTAAGGGCTGTGGGCGGCTCTTACTACATTTAAAAGGCAGACGCTCAGCTGGGAGAGCTAGCCCTTATCAGCTAATCGATGGAAGTTCCATTGACTATTCGATTAGCTGATTAATTGAAATTTAATGTCCCTACTCTAAGCTAAATTGCAATGCAAGTAAATGATAGCCTACAAACCACAGCTAAAGGGGAGTATTTCTGGTTCACATGTCAGAACAAGTCTTTCTTATTCTAGAGAGATGTACAACCCTCACGTTCATTATACATTATCAGCGTGTATTAAGGGACTAACTGTAAGAACACAGTTTTTAATAACAATCCACAGAACTGGCTACATGCTTAGTTGCACATACTGAACAGCTAGGCTCAGCCTTCCATTGCAACACCTACAGGAATTTTACCGCTAACTGCAGCTATGTTCAGCAGATTATATTTACAAGAAATACAATCCAATATCTGATCATATTGATTCCAGCACCCTTTCCAAAACGACACCAAATATTATAGAGCACTAAAAATTGATCATCAAGGAACTATTTGACAGAGGAAAAAAAAAAAAAAAAACACACAGCTATTTACTAGCAATCTGTAATTCTTCTATTTTTACTAGAAGACTTACCCAGTGTTGCTCAGATCCTTCATGGTAAACTTGCCAAAGTAAGCCATCAATTCTTAAAAGCATAGGTACATGAAATTTACATTTGGTACAGGATGCGGTTTTTACATTCAAAGAGACCTTTGTATAAGCATAAACAGAAGTGGAGGGCAATAAGCGGCCCACAGGCTGGACAGTGCGCTGGGGTTAACCTCTGGAGGACCGTCATTTGCTTCATTTACCTGAGCACCTGCAGGTACACCATTAGCTGTGATTTGCTATTTCTGGACAATGGGAGCTGTAGGAAGGAGGATGGGATGGGCTCCCATTGGCTGGGAACAGTGAATCATCCCAAACAGGAGCCGCAAGTTGCTGTACCTACAGACACTCATCTAAAATAAAGCATCTGGCGAGCCACCAGGTGCTAATTCTGGTGAGCCATATCCAGTCCGCATGTTGCTTACTGCCCACCGATCAGATCCAGTGTTGCAATAACATAATAGCAAAATAAATCCTTTGCATCAAAGGAAAGTATACACAGTAGGGATGTTAAATTTAGATTAACTAATTGAATAGTTGATGAGATTTCCTATGACTAGTCGATAAGGGCACCTCCACCTATGAACTGTAGCAAGAGCCCTGGTGAGCTCCCTGCGGGCACCTGAGCTCCCTGGGGCTCTTGCACATTTCAAAATCAGAATTGCAAAAGAACCGGTGCAAGCATAGACTGCTTTAGTTCATGCTCAACACCATTTCCTGCTGTGCTTCTACCTCCCCTACCCCTGGGTAGAAAATGCTGAGGGGAAGCCAGATTTTAAGCTTATTGGATAGTCGATTAGTCCTCTACCCCCCCTACCCCTGGGGAGACAATGCTGAGGGGAAGCCAGCTTTTAAGCTTATTGGATAGTCGATTAGTCGCTCACATCCCTAATATATAGTGCAAGTCCACTTCTTACCAATATTCCGTAAATAAGAAATGGAATTTTCTACCTTCTGTGGCAATGCCCCTACCAAATATTCATTAGGTATTTGTGTCAAGTCATCTGGAATCTGACAGGTTGGAGAATTGGGCCATAAATGTCTAAACAAGTTATTGAAATAATGATCGTTCCACACAGTTTTTCTAAGATTGTTGTCGTAGCTAGCCACAATATAACCAAGGTACAGCTTCTGATTTGCAACCTCTCTTCAACGTCAACAGGGACAGATCCTTCAAAAGCCTTATAAACTGGTCTCACTAAACTTTGGGGTGGGGACAGTGAAAGAATGCAAAAATAGAAAAATTCAAGTCTGCATGACATCTTATCCTCCCACCGTTGTTGCTGCGAAAAGACCGAACACTGAGGCTATGTCTACACTGACACTTCAAAGCACTGTAACTTTCTGGCTTACGGGTGTGAATCCCACTCCAACGCAGCAAGTTAGAGCACCATAGAGAGTCAGTTTGAACCAGGCTACAATGTTGGGAGCCATATGCACAGCACTATTAGCCTTCCCAGCACTATATATAAACAGCCTCCACGAGGGGAATAGCTTTCTCCCAGTGCTTGTGTCGTGGCCACACTACCAATTAAAAGCACTACCATGGCCAAGACTTACGATCTATTGTATTAGATCAGATCAATTGTTCCAATATTACTACTCCAATCTCTTTAACAACTGGTATCACAGACTTTAATGGAAGGTACCAGAAATCATTTGGACAGTTATGAAATTACCTGATAATAAGAGGATGTTTCTTCTTAAATGAGGACAGTTACACTGCATCTATACTAGGATTTTCTAAAGCCTTAATCCTAAACAGGTGCAGCCTCACAACAGTAGTGACAAGGCTCAGGCATCTTTGCTACTCAGAATGGGGCTCTCTTAATAGAAGTCTTGTCAACACAATGTATGCTGCCAAAAGTAAAACTATGTACACTGGGAATTATGAACACGAAAATACTAATGTATGATGAGACAACCACCAAGGGCTGATCTATGAAGCATGTGAATTTGTACTCCTCCTGTATTTTTTTTGTTGAATGTAGTAACTAGGATGTTTTACACATGAGTATCTAATCCCTTACTGAATCTGACTAAGCTCTTGATCTCACAAACCTTGTAGCAATGATTATTCTAGTTTATCTTTGCATGTGGGATAATCATTTCCTTGCCGTTACTTGTTTGTATACCATCATTACTAAAGGCTCTAATTAGCCTAAGTACCTGTACTGTACAAAGATTATACACACTACCACACAAAAACATTGAGACCATTATATAAAGTCAAGCACTGAAAAATAAGAAATGCCAGAATTAAGGATACGCACGCACCCTTAATTCAGCCTCCTGTGTGCATGCCTGCTCATATAATCACTTCAAAGGCAAGTAATTAAAACTTATCATAGATGGTCACTAGTTACAGGTTCATTTTCCAGATGTCTGACTTGCCCAGGAGCTCAGCACTTGCAGTTGCAAGTGAAGTGCTACGCAACGCTAGTTACTCTAGAAACAAAAAACAGATCTTCACATATTGAGCACTCAAATTTAATGGATGCCACCTTTGTGCCTCAGATTTTTATCTGTTGAATGGGGATAAGAACGTCCCCTTCCCCCCCCCCAGTGTTGTGAAAATAACTTAATCTTGTAACTATTTGAACCATCTACTCACGGTCTCCCCCCCCATTTTCTCCCCCCTCCCTTATTTATTCTTGGATCTGGACTTCTAATACTCC